GATGTGGCCTTTTGCATGCACAATCTAGGATGACAGTAGTGTTTTTAATAGGGCTCTCATTGTCTTTTCCCCTGATCCGTCTGTGAAAATATCTGCTTATGTCAGAATCACACCCATCTGTTTACCTCCATTGAATGCTGGTTTATTGCTCTATTTTCAACAATATCTTGAGATAGAAAGTGTCCCACAGTATGGTCCAGTTAAATTCAGATTCCTTTGCAAGGGTAGTTTTTGAGACCAGTTTTTGAGGTTTGTTGTGACCCAAGGAGGGATTTTTTCAGCTGTCTCTTTCCCCATGTTTCTCTGGCTGCCAGCCCCCTCTTAATTATTTACCACCAAAATCTTTACTTTAAGCCTTATGTACCATTAGGTTTAAATTTCCCACTTTCTGGCTGAAATAGAGCCAAATCCTTTGGGGATAGCTCTCTGTTCTTATGACCTGCCTCTTCTTGTGGGAAAAATTTTTGAGCCACCACCCCTCAGCTGAGGGTGATGACAGTGGTCTGCTTCTCTCAGACTGACACTCCTGCTTTATGAGCAGGTTGTTGATTGTGGGTGGTAGCCTCTGGTCTTCTCAGCATGTCTCTTCTGGTGTGGAAACTCCACCTCACCTGTGAGCTGGAGCTAGGAGATTGAGACCCCAGTATTTATTAGCTTATACTGCTCCTGAGGTAGAGCCCTTGCTCTACAAGTGGGGCTGGGTGGAGGAAGGGAGCACCTGACTTCTCAGTTGTACCTGCCTGGAGTTTAGCTTCTGCAACACATAGTGAGGCTGGGGGTTGAGCAATGCTGGCAGCTTTCCCCTCCCTGGGAAATACCGTAACACTTTGAGATGCACTCATCTGGAGTTGAATTTCTGTCACACTGAGCTGAAGAGGAGGGGAAGCGGGAGGATGTAGTTCCAATGTCATAGACTCTCCCCTTACCAAGTTTTAGTATATTTTTTTTTCAATAAATATGTTTTGTTTGTTTGTTTGTTTACTCTTAAGACAATGTCCAGAGACTTTAAAGGATTGGCTTTTGAAAAAATAATTTGTGACAGTTATGCTTTTTTGTTATAGGGAGTGAGTCCATGTTGCAGAAGTAGAACCCCTAGTGGCTGTTTTTAAGATTTGCTTAAGACACTGCTTTGAAATTAATTGTTTATTGAGTGACTCAGGTGCCAATTAATAATATTTTCACAAGTGGTTATAAAGGTTTTTCCCTTCTGCTTTGTATCTTAAAAGGAGCTCTGGTGGTGCAGGGCGTAAGGCATTTGATTGCTAACCAGAAGGGTGGAAGTTCAAACCTACTAGCCCTCTGTGGAAGGAAGATGGGGCAATCTACTTCCATAAATATTTACTGCCTCAGAAACCCAAAGGGGATTGCTATGAGTTGGAATCGATTTGGTGGCATTGGTTTTTTTTTTTTTTGGTAGCACCTTACAAAGCCACATATCATTATAAACTTCGTAGTTTGATGAATTTTAAAATAGCCCAACACCCAGAAACACTGAGTTCTAATTCAATTCCTTCAGTGTATTAGCTGTGTAGTCTTCAGTAGATTACTGAGCCACCTTAAACTTACTTGCTCATCCAAAATATTTACATAATAGTTGCTGTTTGTAATTTTAATTAGAAGATGCATGTGAATGCACTTTGTAAACTCTAAAACTTAAAATGGAGTATACTGTTATTAGGAGCTCTGGTGACATAGTACCTAAGACATTTGGCTGCTAACCAGAAGGTTGGCTGTTCAAACTCACCAGTTGCTCTGTGGAAGGAAGATGAGAAAATCTACTTCCTTAAAGATTTACCACCTTGGAAACCCTGTGGGGGTCGCTATGGTACTGTTATTACCAGTTTAAAGCAAATGCATCATTCTCATTTTATTCTTATCTAAGAGTACTGAGTGTACAGTTTATCTTAGGGAGTCATTTGCTATTGTTTATGATTTTAAAATCCTTCCTGTAATGATAAATAATCTGTGATATGCAGATGACACAACCCTGCTTGCTGAAACCAAAACCAAACTCACTGCCATGGAGTCGACGCTGACTCATAGCGACCCCTCCTCGGGTTTCTGGGGCGGTAGATTGCCCAACCTTCCTTCTGAGGAGTGGCTGGTAGGTTTGAACCACCAGCCTTCTGGTTAGCAGTCAAATGCCTTCAGCACTACGCCACCAGATCTCCTGCTTGCTGAAAGCAAAGAAGATTTGAACCACTTACTAAAGACGGTCAATGACTACAGCCTTTAGTATGGATTACATGTTCAGTATGGGTTGCACTTCAAAATAAAACAAAAATCCTCACTACAGGACCAATAAGCAATATCATGAGAAACAGAGAAAAGATTGAAGTTGCCAAGGATTTCATTTTACTTGGATCCATAATCCAACAGTCAAGAAATCAAATGACTATTGCATTGGGCAAATCTTCTTCAAAAGACCTCCTAAAAGTGTTAAAAAGTAAAGATGTCACTTTGAGAACTAAAGTGCACCTAGCTGAAGCCACCGTCTTCTCAGTTGCTTCATATGCATGTGAAAGCTGGACAATGAATAAAGGAGATGGAAGAAGAATTGATGCCTTTGAGTTATGGTGTTGACAAAGGATATTGACTGTATCACGGACTGCCAGAATGAACAAATCTGTCTTGGAATAAATGCAACAGGAATGCTTCTTCGAGGCAAGGGTGGCAGACTTCATCTCAAGTACTTTGGACATGTTATCAGTAAGGAGCTGTCCTTGGAGAAGGACATGATGCTTGGTAAAGTAGAGGGTCAGGAAAAAAAAAGGAAGACTTTGAACGAGGTGGATTGAGACAATGGCTGCAACAAGGAGCTCAAAACCTAGCAACTATTGTGCGCAAGATGCAGGAAGGACCAGGCAGTATTTCCTTCTGTTGTACACAGGGTCTCTATGAGTTGCAACCAATTTGATGGCACCTAACAACAACAGCAGCATAATCATTAATAAACATACTTATAATATTACCTAGGAGCTCTGGTAGCATAGTGCCTAAGTCACTTGACTGCTAACCAGAAGGCTGGTGGTTCAAATCCACCAGCCACTCCTCAGAAGGAAGGTTGGGCAATCCTACTTCTGTAGTGATACTGCCTCGGAAACCCAAGGAGGGGTCGCTATGAGTCGGGGCCAAGTCAATGGCACATAACAACAGCAACAACAATATTACCTCGGATATCACCTAAGGAGCTCTGATGGCATGGTGGGTAAGACATATGACTGCTGGCCAGAAGGTTGGTGGTTCACACCTAACAGCTCCTCCGTGGGAGGAAGATGAGGCATTCTACTTCCATCAAGATTTATAGCCTTGGAAACCCAATGTGGGTCGCTATAAGTTGGAGTGGACTTGATGGCAGTGGGTTTTGTTTTGTTTTTAAAGGATATCATCTAGCAATTACTTTAGATAAGTTTACTTTATTGTGGAATTGCAGTAGTAAAAGGGGAAAATACAATTTTAGTGTATTTCTAATAATATAAAAATCTATTTTATCTATTCATTTACTTTGGTTGTTTTGAAAGTTCTTTGAGGATCGCAGTGAAGAACTCAGATGCCCATGATTCATTAATTTTCATAGAGTCATAGAATCCAGATTTGGAAGGCAATCATGGAGCTTGTCAAACCCAGTGGAATTTCATTCTCTGGATCCTTGCCAATTCTTAATCAACCCTGCAACAACACTTCACAGAGAATTACTGTTGCACACAGCCTCTGATTTCGTTTTGAGTCAGTTTTCATTGTTAGTCATTTATAGTTTAGAAAGCATGTTGTATCACTCATTTCATTTCTTCACTGTAGTCTCTTGGGACTGGTGTTTACCATTTTGCATGTGGAGAAACTGAAGAGTAAAAGGAATAGTTGTTTACTCAAAGTTATGTGACAAGTGGCAGGTAAAAACTTGAGTCACAAGTTTTGGCCAATTTAAGGCATGAGCATCTGCTGTGTTGTAGGTACTGCATATCAGAGACTCAAAGATTTTAAAAATTTATAATCCCTCAAATCAGAATACTTACAGTTTAGGAGGGAAGAAAGATTCCTAAAGTATTAGTTACTGTTTGGTTTGATGTGTCAGGGAAGGGATATGTTTGAGTGCACTAGAACTGGATTAGACAGAGAAGTCTTCCTGCAGGAGGAAGATATTTGAGATGAACATCTTTTAGAATGAATACATTGAAGTTGACTAGTGTGATTTCTAATAAAATCTCAGCTACCAGTTGTTTATTTGTATTTGAACCAAATTTTCTTCTTTATTTTCTAAAATCTCACTTCTGCACTGAAAACCTCTTCTATGTGAAAGCTCTTTAAATTGAGAACTTCTGTGTTTCTTCTAAATCTCCTTCCCTTGGGTTTTTCTTTAGCTGTTATATGTACTGTTTTTCAGCATGTAAAATTGTTAAAAAATGTTTGGAAAAAATATGAATTGGATTAAATTGAAATATTTATAATATTGATTACTCTACTCTGGTCAGATTGCAATTGTTGTTTGGGTTTGGGTTATTCGCATGTTTGCTTTCCTCATTGCACTGATGTTTGCCAAGAATTGATTATGACAAGTTAGTAGAAAACATACTAAGAATTATTTTACTTACACTTTGTCCAGTATAAGTCATTAGTATTTTAAGGTAACTAATTGAAGAGCCTTGTCATAATTTTGACATACTTTTAGCTTTTTTTTTGTATTTCATACCTTATGTTTAGCTTTGTTTTAAGAAAGATTTTTGTTCTAAAAATAATTTACTCCTTCTCACCTTTTACATGTGAATTTTTGTTGTGTCCAGATTCTCCACACTGACTTATTATATTTGACCAAGTATAGACTTTCTCACTTTTCTTAGCAAACACCTTCTTGATAATTTTAGGTCATTCTTCTAATTTGTTTTCATCACATGTAGTTTTCTTTTTTTCGTTCTCTATAATGTACTATAAAAGTTGCTTTCTCAGCTAAGCCTTTCTTTTTGGGAGGAATATTAAAATGTAAACAAAGTATTGATTTTATAAAAATGCTAATATATTTTCATATGTATTCTTTCAATTGTCTTCAGAGCATCCTGGCTTTAAATCCTCGAATACAGACTCATGCAGCTCTGCGTTCCACTTCAGCCAAAAAGTTAGACAAGAAGCATTGGAAAAGAAACCATGATAAGAACTGCTTTGTAAGTACCACTGTTACACGATTTCATGCTGAAAATGATCTTATTTCATATATTGTGTGACAGAATTTTACATTTACGTAAACATAATTCATAATTATGAAGTACAGCTGTGATTTTAAAAATATTTTGTGTTTGAATAATCTCAAAGACATGTTTAATTTTATTGCTTTAAAAATATCTTCTGAAGAACACAGAGAAAAGGTAACCACAGGGAGGAAGTGGGAAGAGAGCTATTATTATATTACGGGGATTGCAATCAATGTCATGAAACAAAATGTATGTGAACTGTTGTATGGAAAATGAATATGCTGTGTAAATTTTTACTCAAATCACTATTAAATTTTTTTTTCTGCAACACTTGTCTCTATCATTTAAATTTAGTATGGTGCCATTTTTTTCTTAAAAATCTGTGCAATTTCTCTAATAATTGTCATGTAATAACAGTGAACTAGAAGAGTTCCCATATTACTGATATACTTCAGCTGAAGAAGGTTATAAAAACCACACACACACACACACACACACACAATCCTGTTGCCATTGAGTCAATTCCAACTCATAGTGATCCTTTAGCACAAAGTAGGACTGCCCTGTAGGATTTCAAATCTTCAAGAAAGCAGACTTCCAGATTTTTCTCCCATGGAGTAAGTGGTGGGTTCAAATTCCTTACTTTTTCACTTAGCAGCCGACCACTAAACCACTGTGTGCTTCTCCTTGAAGAGGGCTATCTACCTAGTATCTAAACTGTTTGAACAAATATGCTTGTGGAGGAACAAATCTTTTTAAAATATGAATATCTAATATTTTCAAATGAGGCCCAGGAGCAAAAATGTTTCTCCAGGATTATGGAATCCTAGAACCTTATTGAACTGGGCTGATGAAGTGATTACAGAGCTAGGAATATGAGGCCATACATGTTTAAAAGTACAACCTTGAAGGCAATATTCAAAATGCCATTTACGAGTACACAGACTTTTCATTTTGGAAAGCATTTGCTTTCACGTATTTTACCTGATTTTTCCAAAGCGGCCTATTCAGTGAGGCAAATAGTAGCTTTAACTTATTTGATATTGACTCTTACGATACTTTGGATGTACCATTTTATATAGTATTATGATTTTTATTTTTATGTATTTCTCTCTTCCTCTCCACATTATGAACTCTCTGAGAATTGGAATTGTGAGGTACATGTGCATGTCTGTGTGCATGTATGTGTGTGTGTGTGCATCCTTCTTTACTTAATTTTTAATTTTTCTGTCACTAATCACCTAGCATCAGAAGGAAGGTTGGGCAATTTACTTCCGTAAGGGATATCACCTTGGAAACCCAAGGAGGGGTTGCTATGAGTCAGGTCTGACTCGACGGCACATAACAACAATAACAACAATCATCTAGCAAAGCTTTTTTTTTTTTCTTTTGACTAAAACAAAGAAACAGAGAAACACAGACAGATTGACTTGAGAAGATCACATAGCCATTTAGTAGTAGACCTGGTTTTGGAATTCCATTTTCCTTGCTCCAGTTCTGTGAGCTTTGCTTGCTACTATGATGCTTCTAGTAGAGGTCTTTGGAAGGACACCTGTGTGGTCCAAATTAGATTAAGGAATAGGCAGACTAAAAAGCATGACCCTGTATCATGATGTGAACAATTGAATGGCATTAAGAGCAGGATCATGTATTTTTACACTTAGAAAGCCCTTAAAGATTTCCAAGTCTCAATCTTTCATTTTAAGGGCATGAGAACTATGATCCAGAGAAGTTAGATGATGCTTTCCTAAGGTCCCTCTTTTATAGGTGATCAAACTGTTATATGATCAGAGCTTTATTTAGAAGAGACTCTATTATAATTGCTATTTTATGGAAATTAGTATTTTAATTCAATAGTTGTGATCCTGTAAATTGTTTCTTATTTTCTTATATTTTGTATAATTGGCAAAGATGCAGTGAGATGAGCTTTTTTATACACTATCCAGCAAATATATATTGACACAAAATCTTACAAAAGCCACTTGATATCATCTTTGATAATAGTCATTAATACCTTTATAATTACCACTTGTATTTAGTAATTTATATTCTAGTAATCTGTCTTATGGGAGGAATCGGGTATGTATGTAAAGAATTAAGTGGAAAGAAAATTATCCTCCCATTATTTATTCAATAGAGAAAAATATGAGAGAAAAACCTTTGAAATGCAGCCTACAATGAACCTCAACCTAGGTCTCACACTATATATGAAAATCAACTCAAATTGGATCCTGGGTCTAAAACTAAAATGCAAAAGTGAATACTTTTAGAAAGAAAAATCGGAGAAAAGCTTTGAGATCTGGGATTAGGCAAAGAGTTTTTTTAGATTTGACACCAAAAGCATCACCCAGAAATGATAAATGATAAATTGATGTTCATTTAAATTAAAAGCTTTTGCTTTGAGGAAGAATCTCTTAGAAGGTTGAAAAGACAAGCTATAGTGTGGGAGGAAATATTTTCAACTAAGACTAGTATCTAGAGCACATTAGGATCTCTCAAAGCTCACGGTAAAAAGCACACACACATACACACACATACTTAAAAAATCTAGTTAGAAAATGGACAAAAGATATGAAAAGACATTTCATCAGAGAAGCCATACAAATGTCAAATAAGCAAATGAAAAGATGTTCAACCTCATTAGCCATTAAGGAAATGCAAATTAAAACTACAATAAATTATCACCACATACCTGTCAGAATGGTGAAAATTAAACAACAACAACAACGAAAAATTGTGACAATATCAAATGTTACCAAGGATGAAGGGAAACTGGATCATTCATACATTGCTTTTGGAAATATAAAATAGTATACCTACTAGGGAAAATAGTTTGGAAGGTGTTTGAAAAACTAAATAGGCAACTACCATAATTGCATTATTGCAGTAATTGCACCACTACAGCACATAACAACAACAACAACAACAACAGACATTTATTCCAGAAGACCTTTTTTTCACAGAAAAAAAAACCTGTACAGCAATATCAGTTGTCTTTGTCATAGCCAAGCACTAAAACTAAGCCAGATGTTGATTAACGGGTGAGCGGTAAAACAAATTGTGGTAAATCTGTACCATGAAACACTGTTGTTGCCATTGGATACTGTCATGTCAAATTTCTACTCTTGGTGACCCCATGTATGTGGGGTATATGACAAAGTAGAACAGCCCATAGGTTTTTCTTGGCTGTAATCTTTATGGAATCAGATCACTAGGTATTTCTCCCACAGAGCCAATGAGTGGGTTTGAGCTGTTATCCTTTTGGTTGACAACCAAGCACTTAATTGTTGTTGCCAGGAGGGGGCCTTACCAAAAAACATAAAAGAATGAACTATTGATAAATGCAACAACATAGATAATTTACAGGGAATTATGCTGAGTGAAAAAGCCAATCCCAAAGGTTACATGCTCAATGATTCCATTTATAAAACATTTTAGAATTGTAGAAATGGGAAACAGATTAATGATTATCAGAGGTTAAGGAGAGTGTACGGTCAGGAGGAGAGTGTGTGTGGCTATGCAAAGGTAAATATGTAACATGAGGGAAACTTGTGATGCGGGAAGTGTTCTGTACTGATCCTGTCAGTCTCAGTATCCTGGTTGTGGTATTGTACTGTAGTTTTGCAAGATGTTACCATAGTGTAAATCTGATGGGATTTCTCTGTATTAATTCTTACTGCATATCAATCTACAATTATCTCAAAACAGAAAACTTAAATTAAAAAAAAAATATTAAGGGACCCCAGATAATAAAATTAAAAATGTAAGTGCTTATATTATCCAGAGGCTAAAAATAAAAATGAATTGTATTAAAAAATCCTGTTTTTTGAATTAGAATTTTGTTATGCATTGTCTTGAATAATATCTATGTTTTCAAGGAACTTTGAGGTTTATCTAATTAGACTTCCCATTTGATATAAAAATCCCATTGGGTACAAATGGTCAACTTGCCTTTGCTTGAAAATACCAATGGCAAGAAATTCAGGGACATGCCTAAGGTGAGGTAGACACCAGCTATGTTAGAGATAGAGATTTGTGAAACTTAAAATTGTGCAATGTGCTAATTGAGTAATTAACCCTCAACCTAAAATATGCTCTTTGATGTAAGATAAAAGCCTTAAAGGTGGTCGAAGGACTGCCCTGTTTGGTAGAACCTGAAATTGTAAGAAGTGGGGTTTTGCCTTAGTTAATAGGGAGAAAATAGGACAAGGGAATGAATGCCTGGTTGGAGGTAGGGCTTTAGGGGACCAAAGGGAATTGCAATCTTTCACTCCAGAATTAGCTTAGTTTCCATGGTTCATCATTATAATCACTCCCTTGCATACAACCTGATTAAATAAAGTTATCTCCCCGAACTGACTGTCTGGGAAAACACAGAACCAAGATGACTGATCTCACTTTAAATTCATGACCTATAATTTCAAGGTAAAAAGCCTTAGTGGCATAATGATTAAACGCTTGGCTCCTAACCCAAAGTTAGGTGATTCAAACCCACCCATCAGCTCTGTGGGAGAAAAGACTTGGCAATCTACTCCTATAAAGATTGCAACTGGGAGCTCTGGTAGCATAGTGTTTAAGGCACTTGACTGCTAACCAGAAGACTGGAGGTTCAAACCCACTAGCCACTCCTTGGAAGGAAGATGGGGCCATCTACTTCCGTAGTGATACTGTTTCGGAAACCCAAGACTATGACTCGGGTCCGACTCGACAGCACATACCAACAACAACAACAACAAAGATTGCAACCTAGAGTACCCTTTAGGGCAATTCTACTCTGCCATACATGGTCACTATGAGTTGAAATTGACTAGACAACCCACCACCACAATAATCTCAAAACCCACAGGTAGCACAAGTGGTTTGTGCTTGACTACTAACCTAAAGGTTGGTGGTTCAAACCCACCCTTTGGTGCCACAGAAAAGAGACTGGAGATCTTCTATTAAAATTACAGCTAAGAAAACTTTATGGAGCT